ATGCTTTCTTCAGATATTGTTGAGCCTTTGGACTAAATGCTGACATTCATGATTGTTCTTTAGATGGTAAAACTCTGTATTGACAGACGAGCTCTCATTGAGGCTAACTTATTTATGGCAACTATTGTTTTAACGGCAGTTCAAGGGCTCGGTCTTTTGAAATTCCATTCTAATAGTAATTGATATATACTGTCGTCTCTGTCATCAATACCTTACATCTTTTGAATGCCTCCATTGGGAGTTACTTGCGTGTTTGCCTTTCTTTATGCTATTTATAAGACTGTTAAGGTTCTGGTATGTGCTGAATCATTTTCGCTCTGAGTATCGCTGTTAATAAATCATTTTATTCCTTTTCAGGCATGAGTGCCTCCTTCATTGAAGGCGCAGCTAGCGACTCCATTGAGAGCGCAGCACAACGGGTCGCCAGCCACATAGAGAACACTATCGACACAGCTGATATTTACAATAAATTGACTCAAAATGGTATGACTTCTTCACTTCGTTCATGCTCCATAAAGCCGAGATAAGGCGATGAGAGTGATTTATTTTATAAACCCGTCAGGCATGTCTTCATTAACTTGTAGGTTTTAGGCAGTAAACGTTGTAACCCAAAAATGAGTTCCCTTTTCAGATACTGATGGTTAGCTAGACTTCACTATAATCCATTAAATCAAAGAGTATTAGATCAGATTCCGGAACATTAACCACTATATTTTAAGGAGCGTCTCCAGTTTCTGGTCTTGGAGACCGATTCTACACCAGAGGTGGTCTCGAATTCGTCCTAAAACGGCGTGTTCCATTACCTGAAGAGCTGTCTTATCAAATTAGAAGTAGGGTTATCTGTTAGTGATCTCCACTATAGTTACACATTTATAATTTTAGGTATGCGTTCGCAATTCAGTATGGGTTTGTTTCCTGAAATCTCAAGAGCATGGGTTGTCATCGATAGTGATATTTTCATGTGGAACTATGAAACGAAGTACGTGCTGGGGCAATTTGCCAAGTGCTTCTTTTTTCACGGCTGTTCGAGTTTGCTTTCAGTGACGATCTTGCCTATTTTGATGCGGTTGAGACCACGGTTTTGAAGATAGCTTTAGTTCGCGTGAAGTCCGATGTGTTTGCAGTGAGTTAATCTAGTGATTTTGATTTTAAACTCTTTTCTATTACCCATATCCTTCTAATTGTGAGGAGGCAAGTAGTAGCCTAGAGTGAAGTTTAGATGTGATAGTGGTCCACGTGGATGTGGCATCAAGGGAGTCATCTAGACAAAAATCTGAAGTTTCAATGCTTGAAATAAGCTAGCCAGTACCTCAATTCGCTTTTCTTTCTCTTTACTTAATTAATCGTGTTTATTTATCCATGTATATATCTGTTTAGTCGCCAATAACGCACGGTCTGGTTGTGGGAACAGTAACAGATCTTTCACTTTACCCTGTTATTATGGATGTTGATCCAGTCTCAGGGAATCCAGGAATCGCTATTGATGCTAATCACTTTTTCAAGGCAAGTGGACCTCCTTCTCACATCCTTCCATGTTTTCGGACCCATTCTATACCTTTTAGATTAATCTTGATAGTGCTTCTCTGAATGACATTGTTTCGACTAATGATGGCAGAATATTTTTTACTGCTGATGATAAGCTTTACGAATTTGTGTATGAGGTGTGTTTTCACGCAACATTCCAGCTACAGCGCAGATGTGTGATTACATATTGTTTCCTATTCATTCAGCACAATACCGGTTGGTTTGGAGGTGGTAGGAAGTGCCGTGTAGTCAATCAGTCAGTCACGCTACTCAGCACCCTTATACCATTTTTGGGACCTGGAAGTGGTAAGTAAGGTCTTGGACTGTTTGTTTCCTTGTGGACCTCGATTTCGAAAAGCTAAAGTGGGTAATTTCAGAGGAACTAGAGCAGATCGCTTTGGACAAGTCACGAAACATTTTATATTGCTTAGGAAAAAATGGCTCCATTCAGGTTTGTTGTACCACCTAAGCTTGAGTGTACAAAAACAATTTAAATAGAATGGGTATGAAGTTTCGCATATATGCTCAGCCACTTATTGTTGTAGGTTTTCGACCTTGGTGTGGACGGTGCCCAGTGTAGCAGGGTTTGTGTCGTAACGGCTGGGCAAATTGCTGTGAGTTTTGTTCCAGTCCCCCGATTTGTCTCGTTTCCGCAGCGCCATTTGAATCTTCTTTGATTCCATCATACCAAGCACTTTACAGAGTGAGGCCCATTTAATGACTCAGTATGGACATGAGGAGACTACATTCACGAACATCGCGACTATTTGCGCTCTTGAAGCTGATCAATCTAATCAGCTGAACCTGGTGAGAAATCAGATTTTCGACATTTCGGACGTTGATAGATTTACACCAATGTTTTCCGTTTAGATAGCAATAACGACGAAGGGTGTTCGGATATATTTCTCTGTATTAGCTCGGAGTGTGGCGAATTCTAATCAGCAAGGACAGTATCTATCTCAGATGACGTATAAGGTATGTGGTTTCTGCTCATTTTATGTTATAGCGCGATTAGAGAGGGTGTGAGCCATAAATTTATTGAACCTCTGTCCTCAATGTTTCGATATTTAAAAAAATCTGCTTTGTGATTATTGCTCAACTATTTCGATCATCTCCTTATTTTCAAATATGGGAATACTGCGATGAAAATGCTTGTTGTAGAGCCTTTCCCAGCAAGAAGTTCGACCGCAATGTCTTCGAGTAGCCCATGTGAGATTCTCCCCTGGTGTTGCTCCAACATCTATCTATCGTGACACTCCACAAGGAGTTTCAATTGCTTACGCCGATCAAAGTATCACTTTCAAAGATACCTTCTCAACATATGAGACTTACCAAAAAGTATTGATTAAGGCATCTGTGTGATGGCAACGGCCAATCGCCAGCTGATCTGGGCTTTGTCTGATCTTTATCACCCACATAAGCATGTGTACTGTGAATCAATGGTGAACTTTTACAAAATTCTTCACTCCAGCTCAGTTTTAAAGTGCACGTTTCAGAATGACCTACAAGTCGCTGGAAATGTGTGGGCTATTACTCCCGTTTCAAAAAAGGTACATTCTTGGTGATGTTCATAGCTATAATGCATCTGTTGATCGATCGACTATCTTTTCTACATTGTTCATTGTATATTACTCAAGGCACTCCACTATCAACCTCCTGAGCCCGGCATGATTGCAAGAGTCCAACCTCATGCGTTTTACAGACAATCAACTGAGATGAACCAGCGCTTGATTATTTGCTCGAATGAGGTTTCTTTCATGGCTATTCCAGAAGTTTTTATGGCAGAAATCAAGAATTACTTGCAGGGAATTCATGAGTTCGACTACGTCACTCCACGTGACGCTTTGAGGGAAGCGCTATTTGACGGTGGGGCCGAGGGAAGAGCCACAGTACAGTTATGGCAACAGTTCGGTGCAACCGAAGTGCTCGTATTAGCTCTTTCTGTGCTAACCAGCGACCTAGCTGTGGATGAACGGATCAAGGAGAAGGTACGTTCTGCTTTTCCTTCTTCATCCTCCAGAGTTTACAATGACGAGTATTCACCTAGAGTTCTCTATGAGATACTCCGCTAAGCTTGGTCTAATTATTTTTCTCATTACACTCGTTTGCTTTTACAGGCTGCATCGATGTTCTACAGCTTCAAAGATACTCCTGAACTTGTAGATGTTGAGCAAACTCGTGGATTAGATAGTTGGTCACCTGGGGACAGTATAGCCGAGTGGAAGCATAAAATGCGATGTATTGCTTCTCATATTTCTTTTTTTGACTTCCGACAATTTTTGTTTGTGACATCATCCTCACTTTATTTTGTGAAGAAAAATTCTTCATTAAGCGCCACTGCAAGCATCAACTCCCCGTTTCGAAAGTTATCCTCCTCCAGCGGTCTCTTCACCGTTCTCTCCAACAAGTGGGTACTTTAAGAGAAGGCTCCTTCTTTGTATTAGAACTTTTTTCTGAACAGCTGTTAAATGGGTTTTGTTGTAATCAGGCTCATTTCATCTTTGTGGGATATAATGATTTGAAAAGACGTCGTTTCAGTGAACAAGCCTTTGGCTAGTGGAGGACAAGGCTATGCGCACTCTCCAAGTCGTCGTCATGATGCACTATACTACTATTTCTCACGTCTCGTTACTCCAATTTGGAATCATGCAATTTGTAGAGTGACGAATGGAGTTGTAAGTTTTTTTTTGTGTAAGGAAATGTAGAGTCTTTGCCCAAAAAAAAAACGTCTTCCACGTATACCTAGAAATCCGAATTTCTAATAGCTGTTATCCAATTGAAAGTGCACATTACATTTTTGGCATTTTAAAGCTTACTACGTCGTTGAGTTCGGAAGAAATGGATTGGCTGTCCAATGAACTTCGGAAACTGGGTCAAGTAATGGAGAAGTATAATCTTTTGCCGAAGCCAGACGTTACGTGGAACAATAGTACAGTTGGGAAAATGAATGGTTAGTACTTTTTTATTTTCCTATTCATGTTTTTGTCGCCGTCTCTTTTTCACGTCTGTTTTGTTCTCTCTTGGATAGCTAATTTCTATTCTTGTTATAACTTTGTATGAGAAATTCTTCGTTTTTAGTTCAAGCCTCAAGTATGGAGCGGCAATCACTCATCGCTCTTCGGAAGCTTATTGAATCTTCTGCTGTGAGTGAACTTGATTTCTGTCTACACTATCACATCCCTGTTCATATCCGTATGCTTGCTTTCACTTCATGAAGTTCGGTTTAGGAGGTTCTTTCGTTGTGGTCATCTGCGAATTCATTCGACTTGAGGGCGATTTCTGCAAGTATGGACCCAGCTATGCTCCCCACTCTAGCCGGCCGTCCATTCTGCCATCTCGTATGCGACGGTCAGCATCTCAATGGAGATCTCATCAGAACGATGATAAAGTGAGTCCAAAGTACTTTTGCTACTGACGCGTCAGCTTATCACTGTTTCCATCAGGTACTTCCTTGGTGACGAAGCTGGGACAAAAGAGCTCTCAGAGCGGCTCAGGGCGCTGTGTCCAAACTTGTATTCAAAAGTGAGTTGTTCGGAAGTGTTGGGTCGGTTGAGAATTCCTTAACATTTTGTAGGATGACGCGTGTGTGACGAATGCAATGGAACAGCTGAAACTGGCATCTGTAGCAAACTCAGGAGCTGCTCGGAGGAGTCTCGTGGACAAAGCATGCGAGCTATTTCGCCAGTCTATTGGAAAGGTTTCGCTCCCCGTTGTGTGCCGGAGTTTGGCTGAATGTATGTTTTGTGATTCGCGTTATCATCGCGTATTCATCCCACCAAAAATTGCAGTGAATGCCTTCGAGCATCTAGCGGACTTATGTTTGCTGAAAGCGAAGCGAGATGACCCTAAACAACTGGCCCTTATCGCTTACCGTCATGGTCGCAGCGGAGAAGATCGTGAAATGCAGGCTGCCGAAAAACGACGAGCGGAAAGTTACAAGTGAGCAGCTTGTCCCTGCTATTTCTTCTAATACTCATTACTCATTTGATGATTGTCAGGTGCATTACGGATACTTTGGACGATCTCGAAGTGACTGCATCTAAATCATCTCCGACATCGGCTGAAAGTGTAAGTGTATGCAGGCAGTTATTGCAATTATCATTTTATTCCTCCCGGGAACTTCAATTTTCTGGGATGAACAGTGTTCAAGTCATCAATGTTTTCATGATCGCTGAATAATCTGGTACCGATGGTCTCACAAATAAAACTAGGAAGAGCTCTTCAATCCCGAATAAGTTGGTTAGGACAGGTCCTGATCTTTATACCATACAATGAGGCAATGAGGCCTACAATTTCTTGTCCCGATTTTGCTCAATTTCGATAATAGCAGGCCGTGTTTGAAGTTTTATAACCAGTGTGAACACACTTTGTTCGCTAGTCGCACACAATACACATCAAGAAATTATTTCAATCTACCACTTTGTTACTTCTTCTCATTCTCAGGTATCTTTTCAAACACTGCAGCTATACGCTTCACTCCTGGAAATGAACGTTGTCTTTCCTGAGACAATTGAATTGCTAGTGAAAGTCATGTTACCATCGGGCTTCACAGATTTCGTCCAAATCTCTTTCACAGTTTTTCCTTCTGCACATTTGATGTGGTATATAGCAAAGTAATGGCGATGACCCTCTGGGATCTCCTTATTCTATAATTAGGAAACATCAATTCGAAGTGAATTTTCAAGCAATCATGATCAGTGGTGAGTCTTGCCAAATAGCTGAAAATACCTGGAACCACATTCGTATCGTTCCGGTTTCACCAGGTTTGATGAATCCCAGTGGAGGTTGAACTCGGAAAATGTCTGCAGATGTGCATTTTACCTGTAAGAATCTCGCCATTTGAATTCTCAGACATTGAATGATTATGCCTGCTAGTTTAACACATTGTTGTGGCGCTACTACCGTGACAAGTTACGCTGAGTCAAGTCAGTTTTTTAACGCTTCTTTATGGACTATTTAGCGGTGGTGGGGTTTAAAGTGGTAATAAGTGGTTTAGCTAACAAAATGCCCCCCCCCCNTTTTTTTTTTTTTTTGAAGCTCCCATGGCCTTTCTTTACTCTTTGGGATTCCATTGCGGAAGTTATCTGCATGATATCTATCGATACGCCATTAATTAGAGTACGTTCAAGTCCAAAGGTTGTTCACTACCATATTTGAGACCGCACCTTATAACTATGCCTGTCCTTAGTAATGTTAGTCACTCGCACGTCGCTCCACACCGGTTTCTTCTCCGCCGTGCACTGGAAGGTGACTTTATTTGGAGTGAGCGCCATTTTGAATTCTGGTTCACCAGGTCTGCAATTATTTTCCTAATTATAACAGTATTTATCAGGACAAACAGGTGATAGCATAGTTATTAATGTCTATTATAGAGTAAACATTATTCCCCGCAGAATAAGCTCCATCGGCCTTTGCCTTCTCCACGCTTTCGTAGGGCATTTGTTCCTTACTCTCCGCAACACTGGCATTTTCTGTACTTGCTTACATTCTACAGAAAGCCTGGTTCATGTTTAAATACCTTATGCATTCTATCTCGGAGTTGGATCTGCAATTTGAGACGTCATGTCTTGTTGCAGCGAAACTAGTGCAACGATGTCGTGGCAGTGATTCCGCGACATTTACGGTAGCTTTCTACTGGAATTAAACTGGGCGTGCAACTACTACGGGATATATTTTGAATGGTGCGGTCATTGGCAAAATGGCAAGTAGTCCAGACACGATTGTTTTAACTAATATCGCTTTGAGCTGTTCGAGCGCCTTTTGGTTTGAATCCGAGCATCAAATCATTACCGATTAAGTAGGTAAGCTTCGTCTCTAGCTTGAGTAGTTGAGGTTGTGGAAGGGGGCGCAGCTTGTGAGGGTTCTTTTTTCTTTTCCTTGGACATCTGAAATGAGGAAACCTGAGCCTGCTGACTAGATGTCGCTTCACGTTCACCCAAACATGACTCACGTTTGCGGAACGAAACACTTAGCGGCCGTTCCGATGTGAACAAAAAGTAAAATGGACCTCACCATGTTGTGCTTCTCAGCAGATGCAATTTTATCCGTATCAGTATCAATATGAATCGATTTGTGATCTTCACATATTTATCATGTCAAAGTGCCACTTTACATGATGGACGCTGTTCATTCCGAAATCGCCTTCATTGCTATATTCGTCACTTTCAAATAATAAGGCTATTTTTAGGCTGTGAATAGCGATCTGATCATCTCATGTGTTGTGTCAAGTGACGACGAATTGGCCCATGCTGCTCTATTTCGATGGATGCTGGACAGGAACAAAGCAAATATGATTCTTCAAGTGAGTGTAGTCATGGGAGAGCTGAGGTATTCTCTCCCTCATATTTACTCCTGCAGACTCAGCTCTACGATCTCATCTCTCTTCATTATCTTTGTAGTTTTTACAAGAGTTAAATTGAGTTTATGTCCACTGTGATGCTATAACTGCGTGTACAGCTCGTTCTTGAGGCTCAGTTTGTAAGAAAGGGTTTTTATTTTGATCGGAGGTCTATGCTCAATGATCCCAAGTGGGAGTCTACAGTGGGACAATTAGTGCATTTTTCCATTATGCCGAACTTTTATTTCAATTTCTATATTTCAGAGCAAATCACCTTACGTGGAGCAGTTTCTTACTCATGAAATCAGCTCCGGACGTGGACAGCGATACTTGGATTTGTTATGGCGGTTTTACGAGAAGACAGGACACTACGACAAAGCAGCCATCCTACTTAGCCGATTGGCAGATAACGAGAAGTAGGCTGTTTTACAATTTTAGTCCAGTTTTTAGTGGTGATTATCACAGTCAAGCGCTGCAGTGTCCAGAAATGTTTGAGGCTCTCTGAGCATACTATTTCCATCCGAGATCAGATCGATTGCACAAAAAATTGTATTGTCTCCTACCGAATACTTGCTGAATCTACGACTAACTGGGACAGCTTGTGAAGCCCAAAGATGGCTATCTTAATTTCGTGCTTCCAGTATAATTTCTTAGCGAAAGACCTCTTCTGAGACTTCAACGATCTACTTGGTGATGAAGCCCTGTGGCGCTATTTACTTCAGTTGTTACACAATGTTTGGGGACGCTTTCTCTTTTCAGTTCCATTCTGTTCACCGCCTGGTTGATAGACGAAATTTGCTGGCCCCAGTTATCGCTACGTCAGTGACCAAAGTTATCGCTCGTCAATATTATGCAAGTTCAGAAACATGTTTCGAGATTGCCGGGATTCTTAACCACCCTTCCTGCCTTTGCTAACTGAGATCCCAACTTACTTATCTTCGTTCGTGCATACCATACGACACTTACCATACGTTTTTTCTTTGAAACTGTAAACTGAGACGCTTATATTGAGCTGTTCAGACCTCGTTGTCATCGCTGCGGTGAATGGCTCTCAAGCGCCGACGCGCAGACTTTTTCTTCTATTGCTTTTCCTTGCGCCCCATTCATTTCCGTACCTTAATCCCTCTTGATGAGGATCAAATAACGATTCTAGTTCACACAATTTTGTCGAATTTATGTGAACACTATTTGTTATGAGCTGCGTAGTCTAACTTCGATGTAATCGAATTCGTTAGTAATTATCCGCTCAAGTTTTAGTTTTCAGTGATGAGATTTCATTGTCACAACGGTTTGCCTACTTATCGCACGCCATAATATGTGCCCAAGCAGCGACAGATGCAAAAACGAAGTCGATGATACAGGACCTTCGAGACAAAGTGGAGGTGGCTCATATCCAAATGGCTATAAAGTATGTCTTCGTTGAATTTTCCACCTTATTTTCTTAACAATATGCAATGAATTCGATAAGGGTCTGAAATTTCCGCGGTTTCGTTCTAGGGATTGTGTGGATCTGCAAACGCCAAGTCAACAAAATCTTGTTAAACTGCTTGATGGCCCTATTCTTCCGCTACATGATCTATTGCAGAAGTTTGCTGTAAGCCATTTCACCTTGCTATGCGTATTCACAACTTTGTGGTTTATGTTCTTTATTTATTTTTTATTAGTAGGACATTTATTTCGCTTGACGGTTTTTTCTCTTTCACGTGTTGACAACAATGTTTTGCGAAATGCCCTTGAGGCAAAAAACAATCATTGATTTCAGAGTCCACTCGGGTTGTACAAGGTACAACTGGCAATATTCCATTGCGCAAATCTTTACAGTGAAGAGCCAATAATGGCTGTATGGGAAAACATATTGCAATCAGGTATCCTTCAATTTTCCGTCCCTGCCAATTGTTCATTTTTTTTTGCCTTTTAGATCTTGTAGTAATTGCTTTTTTTACAGAATTCAAGTATGATGGTGAAGTTCCCGAGCGATTATTATGCACGTTGCATGACTTGCATTCCATTTACGGGCAAACAAAATATTTCCCCCAGAGTATGTTGTTCATTAGCTACATCGCTCTCAAACATCCGCAGCTCTCTTGTTTAGACTTTATTTTGCGGCGATTGCTCGAGCTTGGTTCGGGTATGACCGGGCGATTAAAACGAGGTGTACTGCCAGCAAGTTTCTATGTATCTCTGATTTCTAAACTAGACCTCAACCTAATTGAATTCATCGAACTCCTTTCATCGGAATACAGGTATGCTTTTTTATTTTTCCAGTTTCTTGTTTTGTTTTTGATTTCTTTTTATTTCACACTTACGGTCCCCAGATCACAGTTATCAGATGCTTGTGTTTATTCTTGCCTAGTCAATACCCGAAATTCAGAGCGGGTGATCCCTGGTGGACGCAAAATGAAAATGGTCAACGATACATAATGGAAGTTGGCATAGCTGTTGTTCAATCATTCCTCGAGAACGGAATAAAGTACACACCTAATGAGAGGTTTGATTTTTATTGAATTTCTAGAGGTCCGCGCAGGCACATACGTTTACGGCCAATTGCATTTGTTTGTGAGCAGTTACATGGAACTCTAAGAGGCTACAAAATGGACAACATTTGCATGCCTGTGTAGATCATAGAAGTCAGTAGGAGTTGTCAAGGCCGAGGCTATTCTTTGAAATTACTATCGAAAACTCTTTCTTGCATCGTTCAAGCGCTAATGCGTATTCTTGGTTTTGAATGTAACATGAGGAATTTTAGAGCGAAAATTGCGAGCATTTGTGACTCGTGTGTGTCGATGTTTTCATTGGACGCTAGAGCGGTCTCGTCGTCTCATCTTCTTCAGCTCGATCGTCACTTCTCATCTTTACACCTCCGACTTTCTGCCATGTCATCATAGGTATCAGTTATAATTGTTTTCTATAATGATCTGTTACTGTATGTGAAGAATGTGAATTCCTCTTTGTTATCGCATTATGACTGTTGATGTTGTCACATGTTTCTTTGGTTGTCAATTGTTTACACGACTTCAATTCCGTTGACATTCGTTCGGTTAATCTCACTGTATTGTTTCGATATACGGCTATTAGGTTAATGTAAATCATTACCTCATCAAAGGGGTTGAAATTTGTCTAGATGATATAGGATGTGTATGCTCGTACGTTATTTGTTGTATCACGGCTATCAATAAAGTGTCGTCCCTTATGCTGGTCCCTTTGCTGTAAATAAACAGAGATCGTAGCTATCGATCTGTTGATATTGCTATTATGTGACCTGTGACGTGCTGGCTGGTAATACTCTTGGGAGGTCGTTCCTTTTTCGGCTGAAGTCATCGTTTTTCTCTTTAGTGAAGCTCTATTTTCTGTAAATTGGAAGCTAATATCTTTTCTTTCACTTTTCGGGACCAGTTCTTTCGATCCTCTTCGAATTGACGTTTCCTGGTTTATGTGAATAGGAGATGAGCTCACTGGTGTGCTGGATTGTTCCTCTTCTTCTCACTCATCATTCAGCCGTTTTATTACAGGCTTGTTTTTAACCATTGTAATGCTGTACCCGGCTGTCTTTTTAAGACTACTAAACACCCAAACGATCAGTTTTTATCTGGAGATGCTGATTCATGCGTTAATGCTTTACACTGTTTTTGGAGGGGACGGAACTTACGTGCGTCTGAGGATGCGCGCGGCAATCCGCGCGGCGAAGTTCGTGGCGATTTGGACGGCTTTAGCGCCTATCATTGGGGCCCAAATTTGAAGTAAAGTAGGTTAGTAGGATTGTCCGACCCTTCTGAAGTGTTCTACTTCAAGTTTGTGCCCCAATAATAGACGCCAGAGTAGTTCTAATCTTCCCGAATTTCGCCGCGCGGTATGCCGCGCGCTTCCTCGGACGCACGTAAGTACCCATACCCTGTTTTTGGACTCCCAAGATTAAGGGCTCAGCAGTTTGTCTTCCATTCCGTACTTTTTTCTTTAATTGCTAGAAATCGCCGAAGTGTTCATTTTGTCAAAACCAGTTCCATGAGTAGTTTCGATATGTATAGTACATACAGGATTTCTTTAGAAAGAAAGGCTTCAGTACTTACTACTGTCCAGTGGGACTATAAGCCATCATGCATTTTCTAGGTGTCTGAAAATGTGCCGGCCTTGCTTCCAAAAAAGAATCTGTTGGCGATTCGGAACATGGGGGCCCGTCACGAAGATTTATGAATAGTAAATCGTAAAACCATTTCATTTGATAACGAGAGTTGGTTTCGGTCGTCTAGGGGTAGTGCACGTTGCTGTGAATACTTTGCACTTTTCCTAATCTACGGTGAGGGCCGGAGAGTGGTACTTTAGGTCGTTTATGACATTGTAGCAATTACTTGTAATCTTAGTCGTTTCGACGATTTAAGTCCAACAAAGGTCAGGAAGACTTAGGTGTGGGAACAGTCATTCTGTTCACGCTTTACTTTTGTGTGTTTTATGTCTTCAATCCTTTTTCTGTCGTAGACGTCTGACAACTTTCTTATCTACTCCACTGTTTTTGCTGATTCTCGTACTGAAGCAAGACCTTTGGTCCAGATTTTTTTGGCATTTGTACACCATTCTGTATTATGTTGTGTGCAGTGTATATATGTGCTTTTTATATGATTTTTCGATCAAACACGATGGGGGTCGTTTCGTTGAACCCCTTTTATGTAGCGGCTTAGGGTGAGGAATGAAATTTTTGGGTGTATCGATTGAAGCTGATTCAGTCGGCTCGCCCTCGCGACAATTCAAATCGCCATCGAATGTCTTGTCGTTCGTTTTCTCACATCAAAAACATCATAAAAGGTTCTGTGAAATGGACGCATTCGTTTCTTTCTGCATATGCTTATGGATGATTCATTTCGTGGTTGGCATAAGATGCTGTGGCCAGCGAACATTGGTTCCACAATAATTCTTTTCTCTCAACTTCAAAGAGTCCTTTTTTCAAACATGATCGTGTAATCATATTATTCTTAATCGGAAGTGTTCTCAGAAGTTGTTATTGCAGTAGCAGTACATCATTTAGCCTTCTTCATTATCTTCCTCTTAATTTCTTTCATCTGATCGTCCAATCTTTTTGACTTCCTTTGAATTCCTTTCCTTGTTGGATTCTGAAGGCAGTGTTTTTTTTTTTGATTCGTAAAGGTACGGAGAATACCAGAACGGGTTTTGGGTTTCGCGAATAGTTCAAGGCCAGTTTTTCCGTCCTACATGGGAAAACGGCATTTCTCTCTAGGCGTCCTCGTATGCCATAAGTAGGTTTGTTTGTTTTTGGTACTAGTGAGTTTTGCTTAGTCTTTGTAAAGCATCTTCTAAAAATCTCTTAATTACCATGGAGAATTGCACATGGTCTCCCCATGGCAGTTTCAGCACTTTGTAGGACGCTTTCGTTCTGGTTTTTTCTGGGAGTGTGCGTAGTTTTTATGTAATCAGAGGATTTCGACTGTGTTGGCACTTTTTTAGAAGTAGTTCTCACATGAAATGGCTAGTCAGGATTACTATTTTTCATATTTTCCATTTTTTTTTTTTGACAATTGTTGGTGGGCTGAGACTGATTTTCAGTTATTTAAACAAACTGTTCATATTTAATGCATGGTTTCTCAATTCTCTCGCTGAATGAAATCTTTAAATAGTAATTGATAGAAAGTTATGCTAAAATCTTAGAAACTATGATCAATAAGCAAGTTTTCTATTGATTTTTTTCCACGTGGGGCTCTATCCCTTATCGTGTAATCTATCCTGAATCGTCTAACAATCGAATCGGAATTTGATGTTTTAAAGTGAGATTTTGAAGACAATTGCATTAGTTTTTGCGTTGCCCGTTTAAACTCACTGTGATGCTCAATGAAAGAAATAAAAATTGCTTATGATTATCATTTGCTCACGAAAATTGCATCCCATATGTCATTTGCTTTGAACCTTCTAGGCTACTGCTAGTATGTACTCTCCTAAAGTACTGAATTTAGTTTGATTCCCTTTGATGCAGCTTTATTTCTTTTATTAAAATTTTTTATGAGGATCGTCACGGTAAATTCCATGAAAACTGAAAAGAGAGGGAAAAAGTGAAATAAGGGGTGGAGAGGAAAAATTCGATGGCTTTTTTCTCTGCAAAACCGGTTGAGAAGAATGTGAAGTAGCCAACCTTAATCATCATGTCCGTCTTGTGTCCCTTAGCATTCATGGGAAAGAATATTCGAAGTTCTCGGCTGAGAGTCGTTTCAACTTTTTTTCTTCTTTACAGTTTGAAGGTATCGTTTTTCCTCTCGCGGTTTAGTATCCTCGATCTCCTTCTCACCAGTGTTGGAATCACAACCTGAAGGTAATTACGATGTTCATCTGTTCCTTCATTTTCGAATTTTCTTTCCTGTTACTAGTTATTGACTCGAGCCTCTCCCTCGCATACTTTTCGGTACAGGTGGCCCGAAAATTTGGCCTAGATCAGTGGCTAATAAAGTCCCAGTTAATGGTGAATCGATGAGTTTATTCCGCCGAATTAGGTTAAGGCCTAAGTAATGAAATTGGATAAACGGGTGATATATCGCACTGATTGGAATCGTTCCAGACCTTTGGCAATTATTCCCACAATGCACCCTTGCCCTTTCGTTCTTTTTCGTTTTTCTT